CTTTAAGATGCTCCAAATAAGGGATATGAAGTTGCTTCCAGCTACCATGTCCATCGTCTCCAACTTACTACAGAACCAATCCTCGAACGAGCCTTGCTGTAAGCCTGTTGGAATCCCAGCCCTCTGCCACACTTGCTCCACGTTTGGACAATACCGAAGAGCATGGTCTGTGTCCTCCTCCTGCTGTCCACATAATTTGCATCCCCCCAGAATAGTAATCCCCTTACGTTTAAGGTTACGGACAGAGGCGGAACCAGGGCACTGGGCCGGACTGGACTGGTATAAGAATAATTTAAAAAAATACAAGAAATTTTTTACCTTAAAAATTAAGCCATTTTTTAAATTTGGGGTGGGCCATGGCCTAGGTTGGCCCACCCCTAGCTCCGCCCATGGTTATGGACTGAGGGTAAAGATCCGTTCAACACTTGCCAAGCAAGGTATTTAAATGTTGGAGGCGCCTTTAAGCCCCATAACTTTCTCCAGCCATTCCACCCGCTTACCCGTTGTTCTCCCATAAGCAGTCTATAACAACTTTTCACCGAAAAAATACCATTCCGTTCCCCAACCCACCAGTAGCCATCCTCCCTGTTTGTATAACTAATTGGAATGCTCAAAATTCTGCCCCTATCTTCCTGATTAAACCATTTATTGATTCTCTCAATGATCCAATTTTTTCCGGTTGCATCACGCAGCGCGGCAACATTCATATCCCTTATTCCCATCGGTTTTGCAAAAGATACTCTTCCATTAACCTCCGGTAACCAAGCATCCCCCCAAACCTGGATATCCATACCATTTCCCACACACCTTCTAATATTTTTTTTAAAATTTCTTGGGATTCAAAAATACTTCGCCAAATAAAAGACGAATTAATCCCAAGTTTAGCCTGTAAAAAATTAGAAGAGGGAAAGTACTTGGCCTTCAGCACACGACTAATCAGACTCCCCGATTCAGTGATGAGTCTCCACCCTTGTTTAACTAACATAGCAATATTAAATTCTCTAATTCGCCTGAACCCCAAACCCCATGCCTTCTTCGGTTTGCACAAAACCTCCCATCTTCTCCATCTCAGCCCTTTTTTTTTATCAAACTTTGATCCCTTCCACCAAAAGCCATTCATGAGTTTTTCTATTTCATCACACAAATCCTTTGGCAGAAGGAACACATTCATAGCATAATTTGGTAAAGCCTGGATAACATTACGAAGCAACACTGCACGCCCAGCCCGTGATAAAAACCGGTTATTCCAATTTTTTATTTTATTAAAAATGTGATCCCTCAGATAACTCAGAATCACAGATTTATTTTTCCCTACCATCGTAGGCAAACTCAGATAAAAATTGTGCCCCCCATCTCTCGGCACTCCCAACTGTTGGCTACAAAACTCTCGAAACTATTCTCCAACATTCTGCCTAAAAGAAGGTGAAGATTTATTAAAATTAACCATTTGACATGACTGTTGTTCATAAATTTACAAAATATTTTTCAACATTGCACATTCCTCTTTCAAGGATTTAAAGAATAGAAAACAATCATCAGCAAATAGTAAATGTGATACACGTGGCGCCCCCCGGCACACCGCCACACCGTGAATCTCCCACTGCCTTCCGCTCGCCGCAATAGGGCACTCAGCCCTTCCGCTATAAGAATAAAAAGATAAGGAGAAAGAGGATCTCCTTGTCTAAGACCTCTCTGTGGGATTATCGGCCTCAAATAATCCTTATCATGCTGAACATAATAATTGACCGTTGAAACAGAGCATAATAATATCTACCCACTTCTGACAAAAACCCATCTTCAACATAATTTCCTTTAAAAAAATCCAGCTAACTCTATCATAAGCCTTACTCATCTCCAGTTTAAGAGCCACGTAGCCTTCTTTTCCATGAGATTTAAGTTTCAGGTAATGTTGTGTTTCAACTTTCAAAGGCGACAATAATATTATCAACAATAGATCTGCTCGGAATAAAAGCACTCTGACTTTCGTCCACCAACCCCCCAACATGTCCTTCAGTCGATTCGCTAATACCTTTGAAAAATCTTATACACAACATTACACAAAGCAATTGGTCTCCAATCCTCCATATTGTCAGGCTTTTCTTTCTTTGGAATTAGGACAATATTAGTTACATTTAATTCACACGGGAGCACTCTTGTATCAAAAGTACCTGAGCATAGGCGAGACACCTCTGGTCCCACTACATCCCAGAATCTCTGAAAGAAAGCCGGATTCATTCCATCTGCCCCTGGCGCCTTCTCCGAGTGCATGTCAAAAATAGCTGCCTTCACCTCTTCCAGACTGATAGCCCTTGTCAGCTTAAAGTTTTGATCCTCCGAAACGTGTTTAAAAAAAACCCATATCCAAAACCACTTGTCCTTCGGCTCCCTCCTTAAAAATATTCTCAAAATAAATTCTGACCATATCTTCCACCCTGTTTCTATCCGTGATCAAGGAACCATCCGCTGCACGTAGCCCCTGTAGTCTGTTTCTTCTCCTTCTTTGTTTAACAGCATTATGAAAAAACTTCGAATTTATGTCACTCTCTTTCAGCCAGAAAACCTTTTCTCTTTGCCGTCGGTATAAATTCTCTTTTTCCATCAACGATTGAATAACCATACGCACCCAGATAAATTCCCTTGTGCTCTCCTCGTCATCATAGCCCCACAACCGAGCTAGCCTGCTTTTGTACGCCTTAATTTGATTTCGAAAACCCTTCGGTCTACGGCTATCCCATCGCATGAGCTCTTGTCCGCAAAAAATAATTCTTTCATTAACAGTTAATTGTGAGCCTGCATTCCAACTATTAGCTACTACCGTACGGCACTCCTCCTCTTTTAGCCACACATTTTCAAATTTGAACCTTCTTTGTTTTCTTCTGTGAACGGTAGGAATAAATTTCACCCATAACGCCATATGATCACTAGTAGGAGCCTCTACCGAACTTGCCTGGGCAGCCGAAAAATTATTCCACCAATCATGATTGACCAGGATTCTGTCTAATCGTCATGCCGAGTTCTTTTGCCTCTATCCCAAGTCCATTGATACCCTTCAAAAGGGAAGTCCCTCAGGCCACTATTGGTGACAACATCCCGAAACCCTCTCAATCTCCAAGGAGGGTCAGGTATACGACTCTTTTTCTCGGATTCATAAAGGATATCGTTAAAATCGCCTAAGATCATCCATGGTAATGTGTTGTTCTCCGCTAGTCCCTGGAGCATCTCCCAAGCTTCCCTCCTTCGCCTCGTTTCCGGAAAAGCGTAGTAGCATGTCAGCCTCCACCCCGGCTCATCTTCCGCCTTCTTAATGATGCAGTCAATAAAATTCTGATGCAAAGCAGTGACCGATACCTCGAGCTCATCCGACCACCCCAGGGCAAGTCCGCCGCTGCTTCCGTTACTATCCGCTCCCTCATACCACTGAAAACCCTGACTGCGCAACAGTTCTCTTGCTCGTTGGCTATAGATTTTTGTCTCCATCAGAAAAAGAAGTGTTGGACGATACCCTTGAACAAGATCAGTCACTCCTTGTATGGTTGTTGCATTCCCCAAGCCCCTACAATTCCAGCTAATTATGCCAATGGTGCAAAATAGAAACAACCGGACACTGTGCCCTGAAGAAACACCGCCGGAAAAGCCTGCCTACTTGCCTAGGAAACCCTAGGAGAAGACCGCCAATAGTTATTATTTGATAGTAGTATAGTTATATACTCCGTATTATATACTATTAACATTTTATTATATATATTGAGTATATACTCATCACATTTTCATATTAGTCAACAATTCAACATCAATCACAGTATCCTACTAATATGAGTCACATTTTAATATTTAGTACATTACCGTATTAATATTAGTCATATTGGTTACATTATCATATTAATGTTACTCATACTTTAGTATATATCACATTTTAATATTAGTATTAGTCATATTAGCCACATTATCATACGAGATTACTAGTAACTATTGTTTATTGTTATTTATAAATGTATAAGTCAATGTAATGCTTCAAATAAATCTCCATTTCATTTTAACATGTAACATTTTTTGTTTATATTAATAAAATAATAATACGTAGTACTAAATAACCAACAAAATTTGCTAGAACCAGTCTGGGACCAGACCCCGGACCGGCTAGGTACCCAGGACCGGACTGGGACCCGTAATACTCAGGTCGGTTTCGGGTATCCATAAATGAAATCATAGGGACCGAGTCCACCCCTAGTGGTAAACAAGGATTAGGGTTGGACACTTGGACTCGGGTCCGGGTCGGGCCTAGGCCCGGGCGGGCCAGCGGGTCAGAAATGGTGGACCCGGGACCAGCCCGGGTAACCACCGGGTCCAGTCCGGGTCCGGGCCGGGCCAGGCCCATTATATTTTTTTTTGTTTTCCTCTTCCTAATTAACCCCCCTCCCACCCCCAACCCCCCAAACCACCCCAAATGGCCCAAAATACCCAGCCCAACCCAAAAAGTTAAAAAAAATTGAAAAAAAATATATATTTTTTGGCCCGAACCGGGCCCAGGCCCGGCCGGGTCGGGCCTTGTTTTGGGTGACCCGAGCCCGGACCGGAAAACCCACGGGCCGGGCCTACCCGGACCGGTCACTGACCGGGCCACCGGGTCGGGCCGGGCCGGAACAGTGCCGGTCCCGGGCCAGTTCCGGGTCGGACCACCCGGCCCGAGTCCATCCCTAACAAGGATATCTTCACTAAAATTGTACTCCGTCCGTCCCGTGAGAAGGTTCTCATCCACTATTCTCATGGTCAACTTAAATCATTTTTAATCTTTTACTTTATAAATCAAAATTTTGCCAAATTTACATTTTTTTATCGGGCTTTGTAGCGGTTTTAATGTAGTTTGAAATATGTTAATTTTATTTACTAAAAATAAACAGATTGTGAACAGGGATTAAGTTGCTTTATCGACAGTCAAGCATCGTAAACTGTTCACGGGAACCTTCTAGCGAGACTGAGGGAGTATTTTTCAATAGCTTTGAACTTCCTCCTCTTGTAAAAGCCTAAAAGGTGCTTAAGGCACATATATTAACTTCAATAAAAAAAACAGAGCAAACAAAAAAACAATACCTTCAAACAGAATACTATGCTCACAAATTAACCTACTTAAGAATTGTTATATGATTATTATTATTACAGGGAAAAAGGTAGTACTCTCCTTCTAGGTGAGTTGCCATTCCAAAAATCGACCTAAAATTATTACATTTAGTCTTTGTTACTGTCTGGTTTCTCAACTACCAGGGGGATCGATTCCAACTTGCTCCTTGGGGTTCGCGGAGTACGCGGTGTTTCCTGTGGTTGTTGTGAGATCATCTGCCTCACGTACCCATAGAAAGTACATCCGACAAGTGTTATTGCGCAACCAATGGCATTCAAGGCTGAGATGGGGTTTCTGAATATCAACCATGAACAAGTAACAGCAACTGCGACCTGTGGGTGCAGTATCCATCAGCAATGCAGATAAAAATCCAGAAATTGGCGGTTATGTGAACTGTTTTTCTCACATAAATAGAGTTGAAGTTTACCCCAAAACTTATATATAACACAAACCTGACAAACTGGGAAATTTAAAACACACCCCTTGAATCTACCCAAAATGGTAACTCAAAACCAACCCAAAACAGATGACTCAAAACCACGGGACATCAAACAAAGAAATAAAATACAATCGGACTATATTCGAATATCAGATTATGTTGAGCATAAACTCATCCCAACAGGATTCTCAAGCGAGTTTTACCTCAAACTTATACATTGCACTCAAACCCGGTAATCTTGACACGTAGACACTCGACACACACATGCATATATATGGAAGGAAGTGTGCATGACTGGTCCATGAAAGAAGTGTACACACAACCTCAGCACAGCCTTAGAAGTTGTTTCGAATATTTTAAACAATGGCTCTCATTCAATATTTTGGACATCAAACCAAAGTGATATAAGCTAAAACTGATATAAAAAAACACCTATAGGTTATTAGCTCTGATCATTACAAGATATGGAAAGCTTCAATTAAGTTAGCATGCAATCATGTACTCATGTGTAGTTCATTATGCACAGAAAGCAGTGCAATAGGAGAATAGATATAGAATTTTACCTTGAGGTTTCCTGCAACATTAAAAGTGACAGCAGTTGTAGAGTGGATGACATAGAAGATGGAGAAATTCAGACAAAATGCCAGCACACCGGAGCCAAATATGATAACAGACGATGAAAAAAGCGAGGGGTGAGTGTTTAACCATCCAATAACCCCCGGTCCTTCTAATAGTAAGGCTGGTAATGCCAAGATCATGGTAGCAAAAGGAGCCATGTAGAATACCGTATTTATGCTAGAGTAAAGTAAACTGGGGTTAGCAAATGCTGAACATAGAGTATAAATCAGGTACCATAGCCAGTTTGTGTGTAGGTATGATGTTATATTGCACTTCGTGAAAAAAGTTGAAAGGTACAAAGCAACACAAAGAACAAAAATTTGGATGCTGCAAATTAAGAAGTCAATGGGTAATTCAAAGCAGAAACCGTTTCATCGATATTCATATGCACTCCTTTCACTTTAAATTCTTCATAAAATGCCCAAGTTGTAATCATCCATGAATGCAAAGATCTAATATCATGAAGTGTAGTCTCTCTTTGTGAAAGTCTCATCCATAAATAACACTCAATGAAAGAATATAAGGGGAAAAGGCTGCACTATTGCTTGTTTTTCAAATTTGAATCAGATATTAGGGTAATCAGAAGCTACATTATATGAAGGCAAAACAGACACTGAACATAGGTAAATGAAAAATGCCAGAGCTTCATTAAATCCATTATGTACACCAAAGTACCAAGCTAATACTTCTTTCAACAAAAGTTGCCTTAATTACTCTACACACACCATCCCTGAATTTGTGGTTCTTATCAGAGGAAATGTAAGAAAGTACTTGAAGTAGAATTGTTTTTATGGTTATTTTAAGAAATGTAGAATTTGTTGAAAAAGTAGCATATGGGCTTCCTTTAAGGGGAAAAAGGACTGCAATGCCCGTGGTTTATCCTTAAAAAATCTGTAACTTCTTATTGTTATACATATCGGTAAGTCTTGATGTCCATTCTTTATCCTAAGCTAGTATGCTACACTTACCTTCGTTTCATTCAAATTGATAAACATCATTAAAAAAACATATCAACTATGGGAATATACTTTTAACCAAGACCCTGCTAAAGGCAGTATTTTAACAAAAAAATCATAGAAACTTGTTTTAAACAAGACCCTGCTAAAGGCAATATTTTAACAGAAAAATCATAGAAACTTGCTTTACATGTCAGAATCTGCCACTTTGTTGTGAAATAAAAATGGCTTTGATAAACATCATTAGAAGACATAGTAAGTTAGTAACTATGGGAATATAGTTTTAATCAAGACCCTGCTAAAGGCAGTATTTTAACAAACAAAAAATCATAGAAACTTGTTTTAATCAAGACCTTGGTATAGGCAACGTTTTAACAAAAAATCATAGAAACTTGCTTTGCTTGTCAGAATCTACTATTTGGTTGTCCCAAAATGATTTTCCAGTTTCTATATTAGGTATGGAAAGATGAATAAAGTGACAAACTTACCTTTACTTTTACCCCTTTTCCATTTGCTTAAATGACTCTCTACTTTATGGGAGGAGGGGGCAAAATAGTAAAGCCAGACCTAATCTATTACCTTCTTTAATTCTTGTGTTAGTCAACTTTTGCAAATCAAATTGGGGCATACTATACTATTTACTCCCTCCGTCCCTAAATAAAAGCATTTGTTTCCTTTTCGGGCCGTCCCTAAATAAAAGTTCCCTTTCCTTTTTGGCAAACAAAACAGTGCCAAACAGTGTCCAAACAGTGCCAAACAGTACCAACCAAACCCACTTTCTTAAGATGTGTGTAAAATGAATGGATACTTTTATATAGGGACGGAGGTAGTATAACCCAACATGATCTAGCATGTATGATTTTGACATTGTAAAACAAAAAGAAACAGAGTACAAAATAAATTAGAAACAAATAATGTTTCCACTCACCTATAAGAATCTATGTTTTTTTGTGCAACCACACATTACTATATGCATGTCAGCAATTGTTAGTTTCTTCATTACTTATTTTCTTTCTAAATTACCCAACACTTGGATCAAAAAGTACACCGGGTCTGATGGCGGACCTGTGATTTTTTACTTCAATCTTACGGGCATATCACACTTCACTCCTATTACTCATCTCCCTTTAGACTAACCTACATTGACCTTCTTGTGATGAGCAATAAATTCATCTTTATATACCTATCTTGGTCATACTTATTTTCATCAGGCTTAAATGTCGTTGTTGTACCCATTACATATGTCTTGATTCTCTTGAATACCAAGTACCAACCATTCCGATCCAAAAGTAATTATAGTCTAATGGTGCTCCTCTGAGTTTTCGTTCAATATTACTGATATATGATGCAATGGTCTAGTGCTCTACCAATGTTGTTCATTTTCAAACTTGCATTGACCTTAAGTGTCTATAACATCTTGATCAATATCACCATTCTTTTGCATAGTTGATATCATATATTTCAAATATCCATCCACTCTTCATTGTATACCGCCCAATTTATACCGGTTTGGTCCTTGTCTTTAATGATGTTATATTTGCAATTCAATTAATCACGTTTACTTTGACGCATCTATAAATCTCATAATTTTAGCTCAAATTGGAACTCACTGAAAAATAAAATATCATTTGCAAAGAAAATACATCACGTTACCCCATCTTAGATAGACTTGGATAACACATCAATGATGGTTACAAAGATCAAGGGGCTCAAGGCTGGTCTTGGATATAGCTCCACTGTGATAGGAATATAGATCACTTCGATCACGCTTCAAAAGATATAACATAGTAACATCTAACTCTCCTTGATTAGTTAACACAAAAACAATGTATTCATCTCAAATCATCCAAATAATTTACAAATAACAATAACTAAGCTTTTAGCAACAGGGGGGAGTAAATTGTATTCCTAATAAGTATATTAAACTTCTATGCATGTATTAAACTTCTTCAGTATATTGTATCATGACATTCCTCATCAGTCTGTTCATCTTTTATAACTTTGGGAGTTTCTCCGTCATAATACGTTGTTTCTAACTAAGATTCCATGCTAGATGAGTAGATGCATCAATACATCAAGGTGGTGCTAAAGAATACATATTGGCCCATATCAAAAGAAAGCAGAGCTGTCTGAGAGGTAAAGACTGCGGGAAAAGTTTTGGTATAAGTGGCAAGACAACCAACATGCCGTACAGAACCCAAATACATTGAAACTATGCTTGTATTACTTTTTTTCAGTATATTGTAGCATGGCATATTCAAGGTAATGCTAAAAAGAAACACACCAGCCCATATTGAAAGAAAACAACGCTTCTGGGAGGTAAGAAGATTGTATTAACTATTAATCACTGGTACACACATGAGAGAGAGGGAGTGAAGACCTGTCAAACTTGTAGCCATGCAGCAATGACTCTGCTAGAATAGTTTTGGTAGAAGTAGCAAGACAGCCAACTAATGCAGCACAAAACCCAAATACGTTGAAACTAAGCTCAGTGATAGAAGTTAGGAGAATTCCTCCAACAATAGGAATCAAAGAAGCCCAGATTCTCCTGTCAAAGTGTTTTCCCCATACTAGCCACTGCAAAATGACTGTATCAAGCATGGTGTAATTAGAGGTAACAAATGGACAAGATAATCAAATATGAAGTAGATATTGCCGGGGGGTGCAAATGATGATAATAACATCAGAAAAATAATCATTAAAAACAGTCACCTGTTGTTGCAGGGGTAAATGACTTTATGGTTTGCATAAAGGAAACAGGAATGTATCTCAAACTCACATTCCCCAAGACAATGTTGATACAGAACACAACTGACATGGGAAAAATCCTTCTCCAGCGATCCTCAGGGTCAACAACAATAAGTGGCTTTAGCTTTAGGACTTTAATTACTAAATATGCCCCGATAGCCGAGCAAATAAAGTGTGTGCAAGATACTGTGAGAGGAAACTTAAAATCCAGCTTCTGTAACATGTTAACACAATGAACAAAATAAGTACACTGCTAGAATGGGGGCAAAGAATACAAAAATGCTAACACATGAGTGTTCAATTAAATGAATTTCATTATTAGTTTATTTCGAAACCAATTATAAAAAATGTGATGCATTGAGTTAGTTCCATGGGATACCACTTACATAAGAAATTGTTGTAACGGACTAACGGTACAGGAATGTTTGTCACAATAACATACAAAACTAGAGAGGGTTTACAAAACTTCAATTGACACAAAATGGTTGATCACGGCAGAAACTCATATCAACAATGTGATACTTACTCACATCAGGATACCAAGACCCATCCTCTACTCCACTACAAAAGCTAATCCAAGAGTGGAGGCTTAGCATCAATGTAAGTACCAGTACCACACCCTCATTTCTGAAGGAGTTGATGTGGGACATGTAACATTGCCAAACAATTTAAGAAACTACAATTGACACAAAATGGTTGAGCACGGCAGAATCTCAGATCAACAATGTGATACTCACACCAGGATACCAAGACCCGCCCTCTACTTCACTACAAAAGCTAAGCCAATAGTGGAGGCTTAGCATCGACGTAAGTACCACACCCTCATTTCTGAAGGAGTGGATGTGGGACTTGTAACATTGCGAAACCATTTAAGAGCCGTTGTTCAAAGCTATCAGTATTAGGTTAAGCACCTTTTGGGGGTATGATACCTTAATCCAGCCTATATGTGGCCTGGTCTTGAATCTCAATATAAGAAACAATGACACGTTCTTTTATCATGATACTAATCAAAGCTCTTGGCCCCCCAAAAAAAGTTAGATTATGAGTGGAGAAATGACATTAATATAATTACCACTCTATCATTTCTGAAGGAGCCAATCAGAATATTTCTTCTACCTGATAGTTGGTGGTGGGCATAAAATGAAGTTTTTTAAGACTCAAGATGAGGTATGGATGACGTGTTGTGGGCTACAAAATGTTTTCTTCAGAGCTAGATGATACTTGTATAGGGAGGGAAACACAATTCTTTGGGCGTTCTTAAAATGGTAAAGTCAAGATTGAATTTTTGGTGATACACTTCGTATGGATATGATATTTCATACTATTAGTATTATCCACCTCCATGAACCAATAATGGAATTATGCATTTTCCAAGTCAAAATAGTGCAATTAAACATAGTATAGCAAATGCACTTTTCTTCTCAGAATATTACCTAAAGCAACAATTTTTCTGATCTGGGAACATCTGGAATTGTTCTGTAAATAACTCCCCAGAAAATATTTGGGCGGGTAGTCCAGGAATGCATTAAAGTAATGAGTGGATAGCATTGAATTAGGAATAACTACTAAGGAGCACGAATAATTGCAAACGATGTTTGCTTTCTTCACAGAAGATAAACAATGAAAGCAGTCACACACTCTAAAGCTCCCCATGAAAAGACATCCACAATCCATTTTCTTTCACTTATCATTTTCAAGTTTTTTTTTGCAATTTTGACGATTGTGTAGGATAGCTTTATAGATCAAACCCAAAGTTGACATCAAAACTCAAAATTTATTAAATTGCTAGGTATTAAATTTACACATATCATGTACATACACATTTACGTGCGTTTGTGAGTGTTAAGCCAATGCATTTTGCAGATGGATATAGAAAGGAATAGTTAAGGAAAAACTTTAAGTGAAGTAAATCAATCATTTCTGATCTAATAATTGAAACATCAGAAGAACAAACCAAAGATTGAGATTTGGGCACTGTTATACATGCACGAGAGTGTGTATGTGTGTGTATGAGAAATAGACCTGGAAGATCCACTTGTTCATGATGATTACTGCGACATTGAAGAACCACCATTGAAGGATGGCGATTATGGATCGAATCGCACTCCACTGCAGCATCATTTCCCCCATGCTTTGCTACCAATTCCTCTCATGCGTATTGTATGTGCATCGGATTTTATATTTCCCACACGGAAAAGGCATGCTAGACGGACATATCAATAGACTTTTTTTAATGACAATTAAAAGGGTGGGATTACATATTTGGAAAGAATTTTTGTCATTTTTTGTCCCATGACTATTATTATGTAAATGACATTTTTGGTATTCAATTTCTAAATTTTCCATTTTTTAGCCCTCGACTATTGTGCTAGAGACACTTTTAGTCCCCGACTTCAAGGTTTCCCACATTTAGTTCCTAAGTATTATCAAATTAACACTTTTAGTCCTCCCATGATAATTTTGAAAAAATAAGTGGAGGACTAAAAATGTCAATATTATAATAGTTGAAGGACCAAAAGTGTCACTTTTATGAAAGTTGAAGGACTAAATATGGAAATTTTCAAAGGCGGGTACCAAAAGTGTCTTTAACGCAATAGTCAAGGACTAAAAATGGAAAAAATCAAAGTCGAGTACCAAAAGTGTCAATAACACAATAATCGGATGACTAAAACTGGAAAAAACTCAATTTGGAAATCAAAAGATGGAATGTGAAATTGTGAATAAGAATTTGGACATTACCAGCGGTTCTCGGTTAGCGAGAGACAATTAAAATTTAAAATTAGTAAATAGAAAAACATGTCATTTTACTAATTTTGTAATTTAATTGAAAAATAAATATAAGTGCTCATTCACTTACTTCTCTAATTTTCTGTTTTTGCTTTTATTTAGTTTTCTATTTTCTAAATTTGATCGCAGGCCATCTTCACAACGTGCTTGGGTGCAGTCCGCGAATTTCCATCGATGGCAGACGCTTACAACTAGCCTGAGATCGAATCCTTGACGCAGGTGTATGGACAAATGGAAATGGAGGAGGACGAGTTTCTGGTAGTGGAATCTATGGCGCCGACTTCATCCCGCGTAAACTTATCTCTCGTGGGTATAGTTACATTGGAAAAAACTGAAAAGGGATCGTACGTTGGTTTTGAATTGGATTGTGGCTATGATGAAGATGGGATGCCGCTGCAGTTGGAAGAGACAATAGGGGCGATCTAATAGATTAATTATTACTTGTATATAGCTAGAAGAGCAAGTAGAAACATATCATAAGGGACATTAGAGACAATGATAACATTAAATGTTATCAGAAATGGTGAGATAATACAAGACTTCACATGGAAGCCAATGTACTAGACATAAGACTTTTTAGGAAAATTGAATCCAATAAAGATTTGAAGGCCCCTGAATCCATTATAGATTTAATAAATGTAGTGACTAGTTGACTACATCATCTAATGAGCTTACATTAGTACACCGAATAAGATCTTAAGCAATTAATATATATAATTCAAGATTTCAAGACGTCCTCATGCATGATTGTGATAATAATTTCATTTTGAAGCATGTGATCAATGAAGACTAGAAAGACCTGTATTGTAAAATAAAAATGTCCAAATTAGAAAGCTCGGGCTACTTGGTGGACAAATGTCAACTATCACAGGAGAGAGTAACATTGAAACACAGTGGACAAAGTTTTAATTGAGAATGTATAGTATCTTGACATATGAACTCTTAAAAACACCATTGAACTATTTTAAACTACTATTAAAAATAATGATGGAAAAAGAATAATGAACTTGTGTTTAATTGTTTCGCAAAAACACCTCAACTTTGATGGTTCTCATATTCGGCTCAACAATTTAGCATGAAAAAGATTGATGGTGTAGCTTGCTTGATCGGTCACTTACCTTCCAATCTCTCCTTTGTGAAAGGTCTTGAGTTTAGATCTGACCACGGGATGAGGGTCTCTTACTCCCTATATAGATATTTAAGGGAGATGATCATAATGGATGTAGCTCATTCATGCGATTGGAGAAGCAACATGGATTCATTTTGTATAGCAAGTACCAACGAAATAGGTAGGAACTCAACCACATCTCCCCATTTTGACCGACTAGCTGAGTTTACTTCCACGACAAATTGAATCACTTTCTTGTTTTGATCCAACCATGTTATGAACGGAGTCATGCCTCTTCCATAACTTTTAAAGCATTCACGGTAGGGTTGGATTCGGTTCGGGCCACCCGGCCCGGTACTGTGCGGGCCCGGGACCGGCCCGGTCGGGCGGTCCGGGACCGGGTATGGACATGAACCGGTGGGAATGGGCGGGGCAGGCTCGGTGCTGGATTAATGTGACCCGGCCCGGCCGGGTCGGGCCTGGGCCCGGGTCCGGTCTTATTTTAGAAAAAAAAATTTGTTTGGACTCTTGGGCTACTAGCCGTTGGGGGTGGGGCTGGGGACAACCCAAATGGCTATATAGCCGTTGGGTGGGGTAAAGGGGGGGGGGGGTCCGGGGGGGTTGGCTGGTGGGGGGTGGGGGGGGGGGGGGGGTAAAAAAACCTATAAATACTCCTAATCTTAAACATTTTTTCATATCTCTTCTCCAATTCTTCCTAAATCCTATTCTTAACTCTCTACTCTCTAATTCTCTTATTCTCCATTCTCCAATATATTATATTTATTATTTATAGTTTATATTAATTATCTACTTATATAAACTATAAATAGATATAAATAGTATTATATTACTTATATTTGTTATCTAATTATATGTTACTTATATATTTATTATATCTATTAATATAGTTGGAATTATATCTAATTAATTTGAAGTCATTCTATTACTCCCATCTGAAAGACCGAAAGTCCGAAAGAGGTACGAAATTATTTTATTATTTACACTTGTTTAATTACTAGTTAATTTGCTACATTTGACTCTTGTTTAATAGTTAGATAAATAGTTAATTAGTTTTTTACAATTTTTTTTAATTGCTACATTTGACTCTAATTTAAAAAATACTATCGTATGTTGTACACAAAACTAGTTAATTCACTACTTAATTTGCTATAACTCGAATTAATAGTTAGATAAATAGTTAATTAGTTTTTTACAATTTTTTATTAATTGCTACATTTGACTCTAGTTTAAAAAATATGTTGTACACAAAACTAGTTAATTCACTACTTAATTTGCTTTAACTCGAATTAATAGTTAGATAAATAGTTCATTAGTTTTTTACAATTTTTTATTAATTGCTACATTTGACTCTAGTTTAAAAAATATGTTGTACACAAAACTAGTTAATTCACTACTTAATTTGCTATAACTCGAATTAATAGTTAGATAAATAGTTAATTAGTTTTTTTACAATTTTTTATTAATTGCTACATTTGACTCTAGTTTAAAAAATATGTTGTACACAAAACTAGTTAATTCACTACTTAATTTGCTATAACTCGAATTAATAGTTAGATAAATAGTTAATTAGCTTTTTACAATTTTTTATTAATTGCTACATTTGACTCTAGTTTAAAAAATATGTTGTACACAAAACTAGTTAATTCACTACTTAATTTGCTATAACTCGATTTAATAGTTACATAAATAGTTAATTAGTTTTTTACAATTTTTTATTAATCGCTACATTTTTTAGATGGATCGTCCTAGATATTCGGTTGATATGGGTAACCTCGAGCGCAACCGAACGAAAGAGCTTGCGAGGAAGAGATCCCGCAAAGGTAAATCACATATCGGCTCTTCATCTCAAAGTCGAGATGATTTTGATACGGGTTACGTAAGGAGGGATGGAGATGCGATGACCGACGAACAACTAGAACAAGAATTGCACCGACATAATTCCCGCTTTTTTCAAGATCAACCGAGGACCATTGACGAAGAAGAGCTCGAGGACGACGATGTGGAGGAAGCAATTCCGGAGAGCCACGACGACGAGGAGGAGGAGGGTGGCGGCAGCCATGACGCCGACCAAGCAGCCTCATCCCAAACAGGTACAAAAAAAAGTAAATCTGAATTAATGGCTAATAATTTTTCTAAGTGGAAGGACCCGAACACCGGGAATTGGACCGCAACTTGCAATTGGTGCAAGAAAAACTATAGCTTGGGGATTTCCGGCGGATACGGATCCGCCACAAGACACCTTAAGTCCAAACACCCGGTGGAGTATGCAAAATTAGGCGGCGTAACGGGGAAGCAAACGCAAATATCAAGGTTTGAAAATAACCAACAAGCTTTTGGTAATTTCTCATACAATGATGCACAAAATTTGACAGGTATGGCTAACTTACTTGTTGAAGAAAATTTGCCTTATTTGTTTTCTGAAAGTCTTGCTTTTCGTGATTATGCACAAACTTGTTTAAATCCGCAATATAGAGGTTATAGTCGCAAAACGGTTAAGAAAGAAATTTCAAGGCTTTATGGTGCGGAAAAGGTAAGGTTACAAAATTATTTTGCAAACTTTGATGGACGTGTTATTGTATGTTCTGACATATGGGAGGATACTTATCATAATTTACATTATTTGGGTCTGACTGTACATTATAATGATAATGATTGGCATATGCATAAACGTGTTCTTGCTTTCCGTGAATTTAATGATCGTCACACCGCTGAACATATTTATATTTTGATTGAGCGTATTTTAATTGAGTATAATTTAATTGATAAGGTGTTTGCTATTGGTTTTGATAATGCTACTAATAATACTGCTGCTATTCCTAGATTGCGTGAATTGTGTGGTTCTACTTCTTTGATGGGTAGATTTTTTCATCAACGATGTGCATGTCATGTTCTAAATTTATGTGTGCAAGATGGTCTAAAAGCGTTGGGAGCATCGTTGGAGGTAGTCAAGGGGGGGATTAGACGTATTTGGGGTAATGGACAACTTAGGAAAAAATGGCATGATTATTTGATAGAAAGAGGTGAGAGATATGTGGCTTTTCCAAAAGATTTGTCTATTCGTTGGAATAGTACCTATAAGTTAATTGGAGTTCTTCTTAGATATAAACAACATTTTCCTGCTTTTATGAAACAATATGATAACTATATTATAAACTCGGCTGAGATCGACACCTGTGAAAAAATTTGTAATGCTTTGATATATTTTAATAATGCAACTGAAACTTTTAGTCATGTTTATAAACCTACCTCAAACCAATTTAT